TGTGCTGTCACAGTATGGGGAGAGCAATTAGAGTCACATAACAAGGTATGTATAAATTTTTGTATGGGAAAAAATAAAAGAAAAAAATCCAGTATATAATTTGTAAAAATTATATTTTTATTTCTAAATGTACTTAAGACTATTTTAAAGAAATAAAATTATGGTTTTAAAACTGTAAAATGTTTGAATCCATATATTTACTCTAGTATTTGGTTAATTCCTATTCATATTTAAAAGCAGAAGTGCTAAAAACATAAGCAAAAGTTTTCTTGTGGTTTTTATAGATTAATTAGAAATGGCATATAGAATGCTAAAAATATTAGAATCCAGCTTGTGTTCAGTAAAGTGTTTCAGTCTAATTTACTGCTTAACAGAGACCCATGTAGCATTCGAATTAGCCATTTGATTTGGTTATGCTTGGTATTTTTTCAAGTGAAATGTCTCTGTTAAGTCATCTGTTTCTTTCTATTAAACTTTGGAATTCTATACTTTATGTTTACTGTTTTTCACTCTTTGGTTCATACTACAATCTGTCACTGTACATCGCAGTTTAGTCGTAAGGAGTTGAGAACTTGGAATAATTGCCATTTCATTAGTCAAACAAGGAGCACTTACAAAGAGTATTATCAGTTGAATAAAAAATGAATGTGCAAATCATTTGTATGCGTGGACATGTGCATGTATGCCCCAACAATTTATTTCTTATTCTCTAAATTTTCCATCAGTTTAGCAAATAATTATTAAATGATGACCATATGGTAGATATTGTAGACTATCTCAAAGTGGTTTTCAAAGTGTGCCATGAGGACCCCAGTGGGTCCCCAAGGTCCTTTCAACAAGGCCCTCCCTTTTTCTGTTCCATACCTGTGTGAGGCCAGATTGTCTTCATGCATTTCAGTTAAAATAACATATCCCATCTGACTGAATGCAGAAGCTAATGAGAATTCACCTGTTTTTAATCAAGCCAACCATGAAACACATTTGCAAAAGTGTAAAACAATGCCTTCACAAGATTTTTTGTTTGGAAAATTAGTGATTTTTCATAAAACTTTGTTATTTTATATTATCATATAATGGGTTTTTTGTTATTTTTAAATGAATTATTTTTTTTTTCAATTTTTCTCAGTTTTAATTTTAATTATAGCAAGTGTAATATACATAAACAAAAACTCTTAAGGTCCTAAAGAATTTTTAAAAGGGTGAAGGGTTCCTGAGAACAAAAGGTTTTCTGCTATGGACATTGAGGATGCAAAGACTAAATGAAGCATATTCCATGCTTTTAGGAAACTGACAGCCTGAAAGCCGAGAGGCAGTTTTATATTTCTTAAATAGAAATAAGCACTGTTGAGTTAATGGTGGAATTATTTTGTTTGTCTATCATTGGGTTTTTTATTCTCTACAATTCTTCTGATCTACTTGTACTTAAAAATGTCATCAGTGTATACTACGCTGGGCCCTTAGACATGCTCAGACTCAAACAAACCAAACCCGTTGCCGTTGAGTCAATTGCAACTCCTAGTGACCCCAGAGTAGAACTGCCCCATAGTGTTTCCAAGGAGCAGCTGGTGGATTAGAACTGCCTACCTTTTGCTTAGCAGCTGATCTCTTAACCACTGTACCACCAGGGCTCCTTACATGCTCAGACAGTACATGCAAAACTCAAGGTGCGTTAAACTCTTACTGGATTGTGTTTATCATTTGAATTTATTCATTATCTCTCCAAAACCCTCTGCCACCCTAGAGTTTAAGATATTTTATGATCTCTTTAAATAATGAACAAGAACAATTTCCAAATCACAGACATTAAAAGAGCCACACTATCTCTACATGTTAATATGGGAAAGAAAAAGAAATGCAAGCAGTTTGAAATACGCAGGAAACTCTGTACTTCATTTAGTAAATTATTAAGCAAGTGAGTAATGAGTGTTATCTGCTAGACATGGTGCTGGTTGATGGGAGGAGTAGAAAATAGACACAGTGCTGTGCTGTCTTCATGCAGCTTTTGGTCTAGTTGTTTTGTCTGATAAAGAATTCAGGGTGTGGGGGAAGAGAAGTATAGTGGTTTGATGCTGAAGAGCTGAATCTTAGATCTTTTCACATACTCTGTATGCGCACTAAATATAAGGCTTTGAAGCTACTAATATATTCTGAATACAATGAATACAGAGATGTATTCAAATACACATAATACAGAGATGAAACAAAGTTAGCTTTTTAGTAAAGGCAATGTGTTTGTTTCTGCCAACATGCATGCAGTTAATATTATGTCCCTTTTCTCTACCACTTTAAATGACCATGTCTGTGTTTATTTTGTATACTTTTACTACTTTAAAAGTTGATATAAACCATATCAGCTTTTTTTAATTGTCTGCTACTTATATCATTGTAGGACGATTATGTCCTGACTGCCCCTAAGTACGAATGGAAAACATATGTTAGATGTCAGAAAGAAAAAATTAAAAGAAATTTAGTTTAGCACGTTTATCAATCAGATGTTGAGTGGTTAATACTCTGCTTTATAATCTCTCTTCCTTTTCCCAAATAAAACAAAAAGGTAGATTTTACATTTTGTTCTTATTTTATTTTTTATACTTTAGTTATTTCCATTTTGAACATAGGAGACTGAAATATTGAGGTTGCATTTAATTGAGATAGATGTAGAACTTATGGTATACTTGTATTAGTTTGTAAGACTTCAACTGTCCTCTAAACTCAAGGGTAGGAACCAAGCCTCCATAGTTTTTTTATTCACTCACAGTGCCTAGTACAGTGCCCAGAATGTGAGGTGTTTAGGAATTGCCACGCCAAGCACTTTGCTTTGTACTTTACATATTTTACTTTTGTAACAATCCAATGAGGTGCTATTATTATTCTCATTTTATTGGTGAGTAAACAGAGAATCACAGAGTTTAAGTAACTTATTCAAGGTCACAAAGCTGATCAATGATTATAAATAATCGCTTAATGGATTAGTGAACAACATACACTCCAGTGTTCATACAAGAGAGTAAGAGGCTAACTTTACTTGGATGAATGATTTCAGTTTGTCAAATATAGCATACAACCAGTTATTATTACTATTATTATCCTTATCTTACTGAATTAAATTGTTAGTTTAGCATTCACTGATTACTACTGTTAATTAAACTGTTTGACTACACAGTGTTTCTCTTTGATTTGTTATACTAAAGAAGATATAGCCTGCTTATAAACTTGTGTTGTTATTGTTGTTGGTTGCTGTTGAGTTGAATCTGATACATAGTGATCCCATGTGTGCAGAGTAGAACTACTCCATACAGTTTTTTTTTTTTGGAAGCCGATTACCATGCCTATCTCCTGAGGCACATCTGAGTGGGTTTGAACCACCAGCCTTTCAGTTAGCAGTCAAGTGCTAATCTGTACTACTTGTTAAAAGAACATGAACTATTTGAGTGGCTATATCTTTATGTATATGTTCCAAAGACATTTAATAAAAGTAATTCTCAGATGACCATTATCAAAAGTTTTTGAAATTCTAAGCACTTTAAAGAATTTTGTATGTAAAAAAGGATATTCTACCACATTCAGGTTCCTTGTATTCTTAGCTATGTTAACTAGAAAAGATTAACTGATAATAAACATATTACACAATGTTACTTACTTCTCTTAGTGATGAAAAAAAGGAGCCCCGGTGGCACAATGGTTAAGCGCTCAGCTGCTAAACGTTGGCAATTCAAACCCTCCAGCGTCTCCGCTGGAGTAAAGAAATGGTGATCTGCTCCCTAGAATACAGTCTAGGAAAATTGATGGGGCAGTTCTACTCTGTTATATAGGTTCACAGCGCACAACAACAAGAAGTGATGAAGAAAAGATTGCACAGAAAGTTTTGATTTTGGTTGTGAACTATAAAATCAAACACAATCCCTAATCTCATTGAGCTTGCAGTCTATACGCAAGATGATAAACATTAATCATATCATTTTATAGTTATATAATTGCAAACCTTTGAAGAGTTTAGGATTTAGGGGGGAGGATATGGCTTGAGGAATCATCATTTGTGCTGTAGTCTGAAGGATAAAGAAGAGTAGAATAGTGGAGCAGAGAGCAAAGGGTGTTCAAGCAGAGGAAACAGCCTGTGAGCATGTGCCAAGGTGAATGTGTGAGTGTGATGGGAGTGGAAGGAGCAAGGGAAATAGGGGGTGAGACAAGGCTGATGGGTACTCGGAGGACAGACCAGGCTGACGTGTGGCCTGTGTTAATAATTTGGTTTTTCCTCACATATAGGATAGCATTTCTTTTTTCCACTTCCATTTTCCACTTTCCATTTCCTTTTTTGCAGAGGGCTTTTCTTTTGTTTTCCCTACCTTTTGATCTGCCTTTTAACTGTTCTTGAGAGATCAAAATATCAAATTGACTA